GTTACTTGTAGACAATCCAATTTTGCGTCATCGGAAGACGTTGAATCGTGGCTGCTGTCATGGTCTTGTAGTTTCCACAAAGCAGACTAACCGAAGGTGCACCCTGTCGTTCATTGAAGATCAGTTTTATCTACTCCAGACTTTGGTGTCATCGGCAAACAGTACTACTTTTGGACTCCAGAACATTCGGTATGTCGTTTATGAATATGAGAAAAAATCGAGGACCAAGCACAGATCCTTGTGGGTCTCAACGGACAACGTTGATCGAACTGGACAGAGAGGCAGAAACACGAACTGTTACAATTCACCGTCTAAGAAACTCTTCAATTCAATCATTCGCGAGATCTTGTACAGCTTTTGTAACAGTATTTGGTGGATAATGCGATCAAACGTTTTGAAAAGCATGAATAAATCACGCCTCCCCCTCATCAGCTGTTTCTTTCCATTCATGTCGGGCAGAAATCAAGTAGGCAGCACAGAATCTCTTCTTTCTGGAACCGCTATTGACTTTGCAGAATAATACCATTTTTTTAAAATTATTTCATTAAGGAATTTTCTGCAATACGCCTCATGACTCTCGATAACTCAAGGAGGGTTACGGATCAGTGGTTAATTAGGTCACTAAGATGAACAGTTTCGTAAATGGATAAAATAACGCCTCATTTCTACAGTTGCGAGATTTCTGTATGGTGAAACATATGTTGAAGTAAAAAGCCTAATGTGACTTGCCTAACAGAAAAGAATTTTTTTCAATCCAGAAAAGCTTATGGATAACAACGTTATTGAACAGAAGTTGTGTGTGTATTGCTCAACGTACCGATATTACAAGGTTTTTCCTGTTTGAAACGCACCCATTACAGCATTGAGAGCAAACAAAGTTTGACGAAATATTTGTTTTTCGGTAATTACTCAAGCCGTTTACAGATTATACAGGTAACACTAGAAAACAGATTACACAGTTAGATACAAAAGCCATCATGGGTAAGAGTTTGGCACGGTTATTTTAATTTCGACGTTTGATTGGTTTTGACTAGGTTACGGCGTCAGGCTGACTGGATGGCGGAAATAATTGGGCCTGATTAATCATAGGCCATGGAATTTGGAGTGACTGAAGCAAACGGTTTTGGGCGCACAGTTCCAGGGTCAACTTTATTATTCCGAGCGCTTCGGCTATTGCTAGAGTGCCTAGTTGAACACCCTTGCATTCGGTGTGGAACACACGATAAACAACTTTAAAAGTGGATTTCGGATTTGTTTGATGTCCAATGTCGACTAAGTAGGCTGGGATGGAGCTGTTTATTGATCCGGTGATTTGACAGCGTTGAAGGGGTTGTTAACTTCTCTGTTCAGACGTCAAAGTAGGATCTGACTCACCGCATCAGCTTTGAATGACCAACAAGTTTCTCTCTCACAGTTTGTCTGGGATTTTTCGGTATTTGTTCAATCAGATTCCTTTCGATGTAACGGTCTGGATATCCGTTCTCATATAAGGTGTTACCTATGTGATCTGTAAACGGCTTGAGAAGGAATTACCGAAAAACAGGTTTCACCAGATTGATTGTTTTGGATAAAGAACTTCTGGTTTTTCATCCCCGGGGATGAGCATTTTCGCAAAGCCAATTGTTCTGTTTTGACATTTTCGGTACGGCGGCCACTGAAGGATATGGAAGCTGATGCAACCGGCTGGAAATGAGTGAACCTTCAGTACTTAGTGTAATATTATTTGGCATACTGAATTTTCAGCACTTGAGCTTCTTTGAAGTTCTGAGATCTAGCACACCTTATTACCATTTTCTTATACTTAACTTTCTGAAACCAGCTAACACATTTTAGAGATGAGCTTGTCGATCCACCATCTGATACAGTGGTTTCTCAGCAGTCCACAACGTGTCCCAAGTTCTGACATCCGTGAAGCGGTTGTATCCTCGGCAGGATAAATCCCTCAGCAATATCAATTTCGTCGACCGACTTTGAATAGTCGAGGTTTGGATGTTAGATTTGATTATGTATTTAGTCCTAGTCATCTGCGTTAGAAAATTTGGAAGACCATCGGTAAACTTCTGCGATGAACCCGACGGTTTGTTTTCCTCACTATGTGAAACACGCAGACGGAAATCCACGTTCCGGTATGGTGGTAGTGGTGGACTTTATCATTAGGCCGTCGCTTGCCAATACTAAACCCACTATTGGTGACAAATGAATGTTTCTGATCCTGGTGTTTTCCTTCACGTGGATGCGAGTCAGTTATCTGCTTGATCTGGTGTTCCTATATTGCGTGTTTCGTAATTGGTTTCTTAAGTTTGAGGTAGCTGAATGGGGTAGTCTTAATCCAGAATGTGTCCAACAAATCACAGTATAGTGATTGTTATAAAAAGAAAAAGGTTCCATAATGTGCTTGTGGGCACGATACTGCCAGGTTGTCCAGGGCAAGGCATTGCTCCTCCAAATCGAGGTGTTCGTTCTGCGTACATGTTGTCGTCTTTTGGTTTGTCGGATTCTATTTGCCATGACGTTATGTGGTATTTATTTGCGTTCTTTTTTTATCACAAATTAAATGATGAACACGGTCTGTTGTCTATTTGTGAACAGGTAATTGGTTCATCATTGCTGTTCGCTCATGATTCGCTCGGCTCGGTTCATGTGTGGATGATTGACTTTGGAAAAACCGTCCCATTGCCTCAGGGCGTACGCATTGACCACCGAACGAAGTGGCGTTCGGGTAATCACGAAGATGGCTATCTGATTGGTGTGGACAATCTTATTTTGCTTTTTGAAGAATTGTTACGGGAAACCAGTGAACAAGCTTTGTGCTACAAGCAGATTGTCTAAATGCTGACTCTGATTCCCCGACTTCTGTTTGCGAAGAGGGGTTTCCAATTCGTATACCAGTTTCCCGTGTTCTCAGTGCAACACAGACCTCATGTCTTTCCTTCGCCGTGCCTCTTCAGGACGCCACATTCGAATGTCAATTTCACGTGCGCGCTCCTCTTTACCACATTTTGTAGCGCGCTTGTGTAGAATGCCATTTCCTACCTCTGTCCCGTAGCAGTCTCGATTCTCTATTCACCCAACGCTTATTTTATAATAATGCGTTCCTTTTTGTATCCGAGGTCAGTTTGGCGAAAACAGGAGAATGACTCAGTTCAGAGCACAAACCTCGCAATTCCAAAAGCAATGTTTTTATATGATTCAGTATCTGTTCGTTTGATTCCCCCCATCCCGTTTACCTGCCCAGCTTTCTTTGTCTAAGTTGATAACTGCATCTCCCCGGGGACTATTATCTTTCCTCTTTTGGCCCTTTCGTGTGGGACTTCATTTTCACATTCCATACTGTTGTCTACGTGATCGGGCCCTTCTCTCCCTCTCTCTCTCTCTCTCTCTCCTTTCTGTCTCGGGGAGTGTGATCGATTCAATGATACTGGATTCGCATCTGATCTCTGTTTTCCCAACACTTTCCCTTTGTCTTACTTTCACTTGATTTTCGAATCTCTACGTATCCGATCAACGTCATCTCTCTCTCTGGCACGCAGCCAGACTTATACAAGAAGATATTTACGTACACATGCAAAAAACGTTGGCGTGCTTTTCATTATGGGTCCGATATAAATTATTGACGAGAGTTGTCTTTCACTGCAAATACATTGCTCAATTTGATTCCGCTTCCGTGTGTTTCTTTATTTGGAGATAATGAAGGTCAGAGTGGGTATTTTTTTTTTTTTTTTTTTGGGGGGGGGGAGGAGTGGTCCTATATTACCAAACGTGACCTCCGTGTCTGTCTTGTATGCATGTCAATATGTTGATGTGAGTACGTTCAGTCTATAAACCATCCGGTTTCGTCAGAAAAAACCGATTTTTCTCTTGTTGAATATAATCAGGATCATGTACGGGTTATCTGTTCCGCGCTGTTGCCTACTCTATTTAATCGTGTTTGAGTAAATGAGTAGCCTGTGGTCGGTTTTAACTGAAGACAGCTCCAGGTTGTTCCATTGTTACCACAGTTGAACTCTCAACTACCGAATGAAACGACTTGTGGTATAGGTGAACACATTTTCTGTCTGAGAAATCTTTTCACTGTGAAACCGGGGATGGGAGGAGTAATAGATGGGTCAATCGTCGATCGGCTGGTTGGACAACCGATTGATTAGGAGTTGCTGAGGTGCATTCTGTGAGTGTCATCACGTAGTAGTCATTGTCCTGGATGAATAAAATGTCCGCGAGTGACATAATCCGTGTTCGACTAGGGGAGTTGGATGACGTAAATCAGCTTCGTTCACGAGCAAAGCTCTGGTTTGAGGACCCCCATGGAAATTGCTTCCATCGTCAGTGATGATCGGTATCTCATCGCCTCCGATTCACGACGTGAATCGTTGTACACAACACCATGTGGTCTGCTCTCTAATTGGATACTCCGGGTCTAGCAAATGGGAAGTAATCGAACCACAGACTGTTGAACTCCTGTTTGACGTTTGACCCCTTTTTAAATTTATGTTTTGGTTCATACGCAAAAAGGTGTGTACTGTTCATTCATGCATCTCTATCTGTTGAGCCCTCCGTCCGGTCAAAACATACGCACATCAGCAGTGTGATGTCGCTGGTTGTGCCTCGTCAAACTTCCTTGTTTCGCGCAACAGTACCAAATACCTCAGCCACATTTGACAATGACGAGAAAGGCTTGATATTCCCGATTTTCATTCTTTTCTCTCTAACTCACACAGCAGCTAGGAGTTTCTTACAACAGTCGTAAATGACCAAGGCCTCTTAGAGCGAAATTGTTACTACGGACAACGTATATCTACCGC